GGGCGGGGTGAGGCGGCTGGACACACCGGTTCTCTGAGCTCAACCTTTAATGGTAACCCGACAGCCCGCGAACGCCATCCTCTTCAGTATTGCACCTCGATTCTGCAACCTGCGGAATTTCAACGGAAATCTTGTTACCAGAGGTCACCTTAACGGCTATCGCTGGCTTCTCATGTTCTCATATTCACCAAGATTCTGGAGCTGACGTCTGCAGAACTTCCCCCTATGACGTTTCGGGCAACACTGGTGTCTTTTGGGCCAATGAAACGCCTCGCGGGCCTCTCCCGCCTGTCACGTGACCTCGGGTCACGCGTTGAGTGGCAGATTCATGCCACCCGTAGCCAATTATATGCCGATTTTGCATCCGGGCACCTGGAGCCTTGTCTTCATCCTCGGGCGCCAAAAATCTTGTCTCAGGCGACGACACCGCGCCGCCATGCTTGAAAATGGCCGGCTAGCCAACCCCCTTGAATTTTAATAAATATAAAAACATAAAATATATGCAACCTGCAGTCTTTCAAACGCAACCAAAATGAACACTGAACCATCTTACATGGTTGACAGAGGAAGAGTGTGACTCTTGACAGGTGGAAGGAATAGGGTGAGTAGTCAGCACAACAACAGAGGTCGCCTCAGGGTCTGAGTGATAAATTGAATCTGCTGTGAAAATAGGATGCATTTTCTATATATTGTGGTGGCAATAGCTTGGGGTTGGGGGGGGGCGTACGTGACGGGGTGATATAATGATGGGGAATGGGTATCTGAGGTGAATTGTAGAGACAACCCACTCCAAAACCCCGTCTAATCACCAAACGTCGCATTTTTTACGAAGTCGACTAATCCGTTAAACATATGGTGTTACTAAACATTTAGAGCGCCGTAATATTAACGTTTTCTATGCCTCAGAATCGACAACTTCCGGATAGGCGAAACAGTTTCATTATTTTACAGAATGGGAAACCGAAAGTTATTTTGGCAGATGAATTGAAGAGAATATTATGACATCACTAGGAATTGTTAGTGGTTGTGGTTGGAGAGGCTGGAGACACCTCCACCAATCACCTGAGACCAAGGACGGGTTTTACCCAATCAGCAAATGAGCAGTGGTGACGTCACATGCACTGATGACGTCATTCCCAAGCTTACACACTAGTATAAAATAATGTCATAATACACTAAGCATCAGGGAAGTATATATATATATACACTGAGAGGTGTATATCCCGTGTATAAACACTCAAGAGTTTACTGTAGTCCTGGGCATAACTAAAGTATACTAAAGTATACTAGCATTGCGGTAGTTAAGTATTTTTGTAATCATTTGTATTTTGTAGTATTTGTGTTAAGCATAAACATCCCGTTTTCATCAACAAAGGCCAAATGGCCGTTAATCCATCCGTCAAACCCACTGTTTGGGAATGAAAAACTGTTTACACACGACTCACAGCTGATGGCGTTCGAACACTTCCGAATACTGCTTCACTGACGACCTCTGTTCGAACCATAACCTTGTAAACGCTTCAGCCACGTACTTCAAATACAAATAATCGCCAACAGAACCCAAACCCCTAACCTAACCTACCCAACACCTACCTATAGAACATTATTATATAATAATATAAATGAGAACAAACCTATTTTTAATATACAAAACGTTACAAATTGATGAACGCGTCGTTGGGGGTCTGCCGTATGGCTTTAACGAGCCTTGCTTATGGACTGCATGGCCACTCACTCGCCCAGGTCAGGTGTGGTCTGAGGTGAGCCAACGGTTGTTAAAGAACCGTTGTACCTTCGTTAGAAGTGAGGGAAGCAGCCGGATAGGCTGCCTCTCCCCCTGGAAGAACAGACCAATTCAGGAAACCAATAATTATCAAAAAGCACCAATCCCGGAGAGGCTGTTAACATTTGGCTTGTTAGGCAAGGTCAGTACCGGTGGGTGACGTGTAGTGGTGATCCAACGCTGTAGACGATATAGTGACTTGATCGAGTGCAGTGAGGCAGCCTAGCTTACAGTGTAATGACTTGATCGAGTGCAGTGAGGCAGCCTAGCTTACAGTGTAATGACTTGATCGAGTGCAGTGAGGCAGCCTAGCTTACAGTGTAATGACTTGATCGAGTGCAGTGAGGCAGCCTAGCTTACAGTGTAATGACTTGATCGAGTGCAGTGAGGCAGCCTAGCTTACAGTGTAATGACTTGATCGAGTGCAGTGAGGCAGCCTAGCTTACAGTGTAATGACTTGATCGAGTGCAGTGAGGCAGCCTAGCTTACAGTGTAATGACTTGATCGAGTGCAGTGAGGCAGCCTAGCTTACAGTGTAATGACTTGATCGAGTGCAGTGAGGCAGCCTAGCTTACAGTGTAATGACTTGATCGAGTGCAGTGAGGCAGCCTAGCTTACAGTGTAATGACTTGATCGAGTGCAGTGAGGCAGCCTAGCTTACAGTGTAATGACTTGATCGAGTGCAGTGAGGCAGCCTAGCTTACAGTGTAATGACTTGATCGAGTGCAGTGAGGCAGCCTAGCTTACAGTGTAATGCTCATACAGTGACGTGATAATTTATCGTAGTAGAGGCCTGAATAATTGACGGTGAAATGTAGTTATGATTAACAATCGGTAGTTACTTTTCACTGTAAAGTGGTGGGATTACTTAAGTGGTGTTGAAGAAACAGTGCTAAGTGACTGTAGCGTTGGGAAGACTCCTTACGTGCTCTAGTGGGCTACATGATTGGCGCATTATCCAACAGCTACGCCTCATCAACGCCTCATCAACGCCAATCTTGCATACTGTGCCCACGGTGCGAGGTACTGTGTTAGACTGGGTGACTGTAACCTGCAGTGGTCTACAGTGATATTGTAGTGACTACAGTGATAGTTATAATTTAACCATTATTTAACAAAATCTTTTGAAGACAAGGAAGTGACACCAGCTGTTTGATGTAGCCATGACAGTGACACCAGCTGTTTGATGTAGACAGGACAGTGACACCAGCTGTGATGGACAGTGACTGAGGGCTGGAGGGTGAGGGGGCAGCTTTAACTCACACATCGAGGAGCAGATCAAAATTATTTTTTTCCCTGAAATGCGACTAACTGCAGAAACGTGAATGAATCTCTCTCTCTCTCTCTCTCTCTCTCTCTCTCTCTCTCTCTCTCTCTCTCTCTCTCTCTCTCTCTCTCTCTCTCTCTCTCTTAATAATGGTCGCTCTGAAAATTATTTTTGTATTTTATACTCTTTTATTTACATAGAAAACACTGATACTCGGCTGTACCTGAAAGGGAGACGTCGGGGTAATTAGGTTGTGTGAGTCAGGTGCTTACCTAATACCAATTAGGGTAGGGGGGATGGGTCTGATTCTTCGTAGTGATGGGTCTTTGGGAGATTGTATGTCTCCAGTGGTCTCTGGTGACCTCCAGTGGCCTCCACTGGCCTCTACTGGCCTCTACTGGCCTCTACTGGCCTCCACTGGTCTCTGGTGGCCTCCAGTGGTCTCTGGCGGCCTCCAGTGGCCTCCACTGGCCTCTACTGGCCTCCACTGGTCTCCAGTGGTCTCTGGTGGCCTCCAGTGGCCTCCAGTGGCCTCCAGTGGCCTCCAGTGGCCTCCACTGGCCTCTACTGGCCTCCACTGGCCTCCAGTGGTCTTTGGTGGCCTCTAGTGGCCTCCACTGGCCTCCACTGGTCTCCTCTGGCCTCCACTGGTCTCCAGTGTCAACTTACTTATCCTTACATGGCCCTGTCAGTCCTTTCCGATATCTTTCAATGATATCGGAAGTTATCTGTGCACTTTATCCGTGGGAACGTCTCCTTAGAATACCTGATCAACCTGACTGTGATTCATACATTGCGGCCGCGTCTAGCAGTCTGACTAACCAAACCACTTCACAGGAGGCTTGATCTGAGAACCCTTTCCCCCTAAGGTAAGGTAACCCTTTCCTTCCCCTTCCACAACCCCCCCTATTCCACCCCCCTTTTCATCCCCCCCCCCCCCACACTGCCACTCTTTGGAGGCAACGCTCGCCTAATCAGGTCCTTATTTTACCGTAGTTCAGAAGCCGTCTTCGCTACCCTGATTAAATTCCCGGATTTTGGGAGCGTCTTGGGTGAGCAGGAACATAAGGAAGATATTTTTATATCCGGATGACGAGAGAGGTTCGTGTGGAGACCAGACGCTCGGCAGCTTATCTTAAGACAGCTTCGTAGTTTTAAGCTTATGAACAGGTGTTGTGAGGGCTGGTGTTCTATGAGGAGGTGTTGTGAGGTCTGGTGTTCTATGAGGTGGTGTTGTGAGGCCTGGTGATGAATGAGCAGGTGTTGTGAGGCCTGGTGATGAATGAGCAGGTGTTGTGTGTGCGTGTGTGTACTCACCTATTTGTGCTTGCGGGGGTTGAGCTCTGGCTTTTTGGTCCCGCCTCTCAACTGTCAATCAACTGGTGTACAGATTCCTGAGCCTACTGGGCTCTATCATATCTACGCTTGAAACTGTGTATGGAGTCAGCCTCCACCACATCACTGCCTAATGCATTCCATTTGTCAACTACTCTAACACTGAAAAAGTTCCTTCTAACGTCTCTGTGGCTCATGTGGGTACTCAGTTTCCACCTGTGTCCCCTTGTTCGCGTCCCTCCAGTGTTGAATAGTTTATCCTTGTTTACCCGGTCGATTCCCCTGAGGATTTTGTAGGTTGTGATCATGTCTCCCCTTTGTGTGTGTGAGTGTGTGAGTGATAAAGAATGAATGTATTGGGTAATTCCACTTATCACGTTATCGTATCTCTCGATCCCGTCAATCAAGGAGGTCCAATGGGGTCGGAAACGATTTTTGCATGAAGAGCTCATAACTGAGAAGGCGGGGACCAAGAGCTTGGCGTCGTGAGTACACGCACGCTCACGCACGCACGCACTTGAAGGAGAGGGGAGAGAGAGAGAGAAAAACATACAATTTCCTGAGTTGGTTCGAGGGTGTGAATCATTCTTAGCAGCCAGGTCGGAAACCGTTTTATCATTTCTGTTTTCCTGAGGTAGAAACTGCCACCCGCTGTCTGCCACCCGCTGTCTGCCACCCGCTGTCTGCCACCCGCTGTCTGCCACCCACTGTCTGCCACTCGCTGTCTGCCACCCACTGTCTGCCACCCGCTGTCTGCCACCCACTGTCTGCCACCCGCTGTCTGCCACCTGCTGTCTGCCACCTGCTGTCTGCCACCCGCTGTCTGCCACCCGCTGTCTGCCACCCACTGTCTGCCACCCGCTGTCTGCCACCCGCTGTCTGCCACCCACTGTCTGCCACCCGCTGTCTGCCACCCACTGTCTGCCACCCGCTGTCTGCCACCCACTGTCTGCCACCCGCTGTCTGCCACCCGCTGTCTGCCACCCGCTGTCTGCCACCTGCTGTCTGCCACCTGCTGTCTGCCACCCGCTGTCTGCCACCCGCTGTCTGCCACCCACTGTCTGCCACCTGCTGTCTGCCACCCACTGTCTGCCACCCGCTGTCTGCCACCTGCTGTCTGCCACCCGCTGTCTGCCACCCGCTGTCTGCCACCTGCTGTCTGCCACCTGCTGTCTGCCACCCGCTGTCTGCCACCCGCTGTCTGCCACCTACTGTCTGCCACCCACTGTCTGCCATCCGCTGTCTGCCACCTGCTGTCTGCCACCTGCTGTCTGCCACCCGCTGTCTGCCATCCGCTGTCTGCCACCTGCTGTCTGCCACCTGCTGTCTGCCACCCACTGTCTGCCACCTGCTGTCTGCCACCCACTGTCTGCCACCCGCTGTCTGCCACCCGCTGTCTGCCACCCACTGTCTGCCACCCGCTGTCTGCCACCCACTGTCTGCCACCCACTGTCTGCCACCTGCTGTCTGCCACCCACTGTCTGCCACCCGCTGTCTGCCACCCGCTGTCTGCCACCCACTGTCTGCCACCCGCTGTCTGCCACCTGCTGTCTGCCACCTGCTGTCTGCCACCCGCTGTCTGCCACCCGCTGTCTGCCACCTGCTGTCTGCCACCCACTGTCTGCCACTCACTGTCTGCCACCCACTGTCTGCCACCTACTGTCTGCCACCCACTGTCTGCCACCTACTGTCTGCCACCCACTGTCTGCCACCTACAGCATTAGAGAACATAAAGCCCTTGAGGAAGGTGACGTCACAACCACCTGGACAAAGCCAATCAGAATGTCTGAGCCAATCAGAATGTTTGTCTGGGCCAATCAGAAGGATAATTTCACTCTCACAGCCAGTTGACTAATTGACACCAACTTCACCTTGGGTTGCAAGGGTTGTTGACCCCTGGGTGCCGAAGCCCAGCAGTAGTCAACACCTGATATATTAACATGATGTTTCTGAAGTGTTTACGAGCGAATTGGCGACTGAATCAATGAATTGTGTTGGGTATGTATTGTTATTTATGGAGAGGGTATAATGGGTGTGGGTATGGCTGTTGGTGGTGCGGGTACGCCTGTTAGTGGTGTGGGTACGCCTTACGCCAAGTCTTACTCCCTGTTGTAGCTGCGTCATGAAGGTCTTACTCTCTGTTGTAGCTGCGTCATGAAGGTCTTACTCTCTGTTGTAGCTGCGTCATGAAGGTCTTACTATCTGTTGTAGCTGCGTCATGAAGGTCTTACTCTCTGTTGTAGCTGCGTCATGAAGGTCTTACTCTCTGTTGTAGCTGCGTCATGAAGGTCTTACTATCTGTTGTAGCTGCGTCATGAAGGTCTTACTCTCTGTTGTAGCTGCGTCATGAAGGTCTTACTCTCTGTTGTAGCTGCGTCATGAAGGTCTTACTCTCTGTTGTAGCTGCGTCATGAAGGTCTTACTCTCTGTTGTAGCTGCGTCATGAAGGTCTTACTCTCTGTTGTAGCTGCGTCATGAAGGTCTTACTCTCTGTTGTAGCTGCGTCATGAAGGTCTTACTATCTGTTGTAGCTGCGTCATGAAGGTCTTACTCTCTGTTGTAGCTGCGTCATGAAGGTCTTACTCTCTGTTGTAGCTGCGTCATGAAGGTCTTACTCTCTGTTGTAGCTGCGTCATGAAGGTCTTACTCTCTGTTGTAGCTGCGTCATGAAGGTCTTACTCTCTGTTGTAGCTGCGTCATGAAGGTCTTACTCTCTGTTGTAGCTGCGTCATGAAGGTCTTACTATCTGTTGTAGCTGCGTCATGAAGGTCTTACTATCTGTTGTAGCTGCGTCATGAAGGTCTTACTCTCTGTTGTAGCTGCGTCATGAAGGTCTTACTATCTGTTGTGGCTGCGTCATGAAGGTCACGTTGCCTCTCCCTCCCTTCTCTTGCTCTGTGGCACATGTTCCATTCTCTGGCACTCCAATCCCCTCTTGACATGTCATTGGCATGTCCTCCTCCTCTTCCTTGTCCTCATGGTCCTCTGGAGACACTAGCGGAGAAATGCAAAAAGTTGTTCTCATTTTTCTATGGCCGTCAGTACGAAAACTGGCGAGTTTTAAGCCCAACGTCAATGTGGGGGGTGAGAGGATGTGGGCTTTGTTTGTGAGGGAGTTACCGTGTTGTCTTCAATCAGTTGCGACTCACAGGGTTGGTTTTTAGCTCTTAGAGTCCTCCTCTCGAACTTTAGTTGATTGGTTTACAGGTTCCTGAACCCGTTGAGTTTAGTTATTTCTATGTTGACAAGATCACACACTATAAGGTGAAGGGACGACGACGTTTCGGTTCGTTCTGGATCATTCTCAAGTCGAATGAAGGTCTTCATTCGTATCGGTCCGTCCTGGACCTCAATCAACCTGTCCTCCTACAGGTTGTAGGAGGACAGGTTGTAATAAGACAAGTTGTAGGAGGACAGGTTGTAATAGGACAAGTTGTAGGAGGACAGGCTGTAGGAGGACAGGCTGTAGAACAGGTTGTAGGAGGACAGGTTGTAGAAGGACAGGTTGTAGGAGGACAGGTTGTAGGAGGACAGGTTGTAGGAGGACAGGTTGTAGGAGGACAGGTTGTAGCAGGACAGGTTGTAGCAGGACAGGTTGTAGGAGGACAGGTTGTAGGAGGACAGGTTGTAGAAGGACAGGTTGTAGGAGGACAGGCTGTAGGAGGACAGGCTGTAGGAGGACAGGCTGTAGGAGAACAGGTTGTAGGAGAACATGTCAATACGTCAACCTACAGAACATGTTCTCTGACCCCTGGAGAGTTTCTCATCTTCTATATGGTACATTCACCCCTACCCTCTGTTCACTTTTCTATTCATTTTCTCGTGTTGGAGTGAATAGTGAAAGTGAACGCCGCCGGGCCTGAGCAAAACAACAGTTAACCACCCCACCAGCTGTTCAATATACGGAAATGAACGATACTTCGTATTGAACAGCAGCAACACTGCCCCCACAACACTAACACAGTCAACACCAACACCTGCCACACCTGCCACACACCTGCAACACCTGCTCAAGCTATAACTACCCGTTCTCCTAATAGCACGTCGCAATTTGACGTATACTCTACCTAAGGCCAAAAATCGTCGTACTAGGAAATGAAAGCGGCTCGCGAAAATGACACATACACTGTTCCGTTTTCTGTTTTGGGTCCCCTGGTAGGTTAGGATAAGGGCACTTTAGTACGATGTTTTCTGTACGTTGGGAAACCTGAGAAGGACAGGCTGGGGGGTCATACTACACTCTATGTACCACAGATGGTGTCAAAAGTGTACTTCAATACACACTATTAGCTGGAAGAGTTCGCTAATTTTGTAAATTTTGTAAAATTTACAATTTTACACCTCAATTTTGTAAATAATCAGGAGCTCTTACAACCTAGACCGACCTGGAGCAGAATTCAGCAAGCATTTAGGCAACCATTTACGAAACCTGTACATCTTATCTTACGGCTGAGTTTACATAAAACAGTTTATGAGCTCTGAAGAACTACGAGGTTGTTTACAACAATAACAACCTTGGGTTGTTATTGTTCTATCCAGTGGCATCGAGAGCGCCAACAGACATAGACGGCTCGATCAAATGTCTGTTACATGTAACAGGACTATGTAATTCAGTGGACCAATTCCTGTGAAATATATACCGAGGTATACCCAAGTATACCTAAGCGGCCAGGTCATATTATCTTATTTTAATTTCAGAAGAGTGAAAATAAATGATTCGCTAATTGCACGTGATTTGGTGACCGTAGTATTAATAATCAGATTGGGAACAAATAAATGGGATTTGGCAGATTTATATATATATATATATATATATATATATATATATATATATATATATATATATATATAATTATGTGTTATTTATATGTCATTATTCAACCAATTTATGTCATTATTAAAGATAAGGTTTCCTTCAATATTATTACAATATATTATTACAATAATAAAAAAAGAATCCTATTTATTTCAATGTAATTTTGAGGTCTGATGATGCCAAGAGATAGATTGGGAAACTTTCCAAAGTGTAAGTAACATCTTGGAAGGCTCTCCAAGGATGGACTTCTATTGTGATAAAGTGTATTGTAGTTTGTGAAGATGAGTCTTGGAAGTGAAGATTCTTCTAAATTATCTCTCACGAGCAAAGTGTCCCACACACTTTGTAACTCCCATAAATCATACTCTGGTGTTAAAATGTTTCAGAATTGTTTTTTGTAGATATATATATATATATATATATATATATATATATATATATATATATATATATATATATATATATATATATATATATATATATATATATATATATTTGACATTCACACCTGTTAATTGTACACAGGTGCTACTTCAATTACATCTGTTAAGCCAGCTTCCCACATATTGCCAAACATGTGCTACATCTGTCATTTACCATATCTGCCCCCAGCTATCTCACACACCTGCCACACACTTGCCACACACCTGCTACATCTGGCACACACCCGCCTCGTGAGCCACGTATATTTTAATATTAACCAGTTCTATTTTATTTTTCAGAATCTCAAGAATCAAATCATGACGACCAATCTATGGGTGGAGCAGGTGAGTGATAGTCTTAGTGCCAGTCTTAGTGCCAGTCTTAGGGCCAGTCTTAGTGCCAGTCTTAGTGCCAGTCTTAGGGCCAGTCTTAGGGCCAGTCTTAGTGCCAGTCTTAGGGCCAGTCTTAGGGCCAGCCTTAGGGCCAGTCTTAGTGCCAGTCTTAGGGCCAGTCTTAGGGCCAGTCTTAGTGCCAGTCTTAGTGTTTAGTGGCACTAAGACGAAATTGTTGTCACGATTTTATTTGTTGGAAATATTGGGAAGACATAACAGAGTTTAAGAGGAACTATGTGTAACCTTTCTCTGATCGGGAATAAATAGGGAAATATAGGAGGCGAAGATTAGAAGCTATATGAGGTGTAACTCCAAGGAAAATATTGACGAAGAAATGAAAATAAATCTATGGAATCTTTCTCAGTCACATTCAAGGCACCATTCATCACCTGTTACGGGGCCTTTCTCATGGTCCTCTTCACCGCGGATGTCTCTCATTCTGTCCCTCACAAGAAGAGGCCAGTGGTTCTCGGAGCTCTGTCACTTGAGTTCTTTCTCATCATCGTACTACACGACCCGTCACCAGGGGAAATATCTGTCTCATGCACCTACATGAGACAGACTCTGTCTCTCTTCTGAGCCTTTAGTTCGAAGCTATCCAGCTTGTCAGTGTTATTCAGCTTGCAATACTCAAGTTCACCGGTTCGATCTTTCACTGTCTACGGTCCCAAAGACGTTCCTCTTTCACCCATCTTCCTCAGTGCTAATTAAACCCCCCTTTCTATCAGTCCTCTTCTTTCCCGTAATTCTCTTAAACTTACAACACTTCTCTTCAACTCTATTTCATCTCATAGCTACACTCGCCCCATAGTTTTCTCAGAACTCATCACCTCAAATCCTAAACCTAGTACTGACCCATCTGCTACTCTCTCTCTCATTCTTATTCCTAGCTTCCTTTCCCCCTACACACTCACAAATACACACACACACACACACACACACACACACACACACACACACACACACACACACACACACACACACACACACACACACACACACACACACACACACACCACAAGGCAACTCCCCCTTCAATCAATTATTCCTACTCTTCCGCACCTTCACCTAACTAGCCACAGCTTACAGCTCTCGTGTGCACATCCGCATACCTCAAAAAAACAGGCCGCACTCTCAACCCCCCAAAAAAACATTTTTTCTTTAGCCAAACACACTCCTCCCACCCCGACTACACCACACTCCATCACCCTCTTTCTTCCCTGCTCCATCCATAAACTCCTACGTATTTAACTTCTCAATGCACACCTCTCCTCGAGCGATGCCTCCACCTCCTCCACTCCCAACTCCCACTAAACACAACATGCCCTCCAGGCATATGATGATGCAACTGAAACCAAGCTACAAATTGTGTTGTATATCAACTATGGAAAAACAATTAAACCAAGAAAAGAAACATGGAGAGCAAAACTAATAGAGACACCAGCGAAAAATATTCACGTTCATTGAACCAAACTGTTTCACGAATGGCGGGGCTTAGGAGGCGATGCTCGACTTTGCAAGCACATCTAGACGAGTACTCAGTGGTGGAGTCAGACTGCAAATTTATTTATTTATTTAATTATTTATTTATTTACATATATAGAAGAAGATACATTGGGATTGTGATGATACATAGCATAGTAATTGCATTATTGTAAAGCCACTAGTACGCGCAGCGTTTCGGGCAGGTCCTTAATCTAAGAAAATTTTAAGTAGGTAAATGAATGTAGGTAAAAATGTAGGTAAAATGTAGGTAAATGAAGTGTAAGTAGATGTGAAGCAACCCAGAGACTCTGAACCAACTCTGGTAACTAACTGAATACCGAGACGAAGATACCAGGACATGGTACAAGCAGAAATATTCAAGCACACTCCCTGCCAAACATACCCTTCCCCTTCGTTGGAACTTCCTGGACCTAACAACACACAGATGACCTCTTGTCTCGGCTACGAAAGAAATACGTCGAGACTTACCGCCTGGACAAACCGTAACTGTTCCTTAAAGAACCTTCAGGGTAATGTTCCGTGAAATGCTCTCTCATACCACTGAAAGAAGGAGCATCTAATCAATCATTTTCCCCCACTGCTGACAATCTTTTTTTCCCCCATCCGCTGCCTGCCTTTTTTTCCCGGTTGCTCCCCTATCTTTTTTTTTTCCCACCCTTACGCGGCTTTTCATTTCCCCCTGACCGTAAATTTGGAGGAAAAGCAGCAGAGATACGAGACAAGAATGACCCCTAAATTGTGATATTATGGGAGGACACGACGATGAGGGCTCTGCGTATGGGCTGTGGGCTATGGGCTGGCAGAACCCATAGCTGAACCATTGGTGATGCAGTGAAAGCTCTCTCTCTCTCTCTCTCTCTCTCTCTCTCTCTCTCTCTCTCTCTCTCTCTCTCTCTCTCTCTCTCTCTCTCTCTCTCTCTCTCTCTCTCTCTCTCTCTCTCTCTCTCTCTCTCTCTCTCTCTCTCACTCTCTCTCATCTCTCTCTCTCTCTCTCTCTCTCTCTCTCTCTCTCTCTCTCTCTCTCTCTCTCTCTCTCTCTCTCTCTCCTCTCTCTCTCTCTCTCTCTCTCTCTCTCTCTCTCTCTCTCTCTCTCTCTCTCTCTCTCTCTCTCTCTCTCTCTCTCTCTCTCTCTCTCTCTCTCTCTCCTCTCTCTCTCTCTCTCTCTCTCTCTCTCTCTCTCGGACATGAAGCCAACTAACCACCTTCCTCTGGTTGCAAGCTATTAAGAAAATATTCTTAAAAAGAATGTATAGTGACGTGGAGCCCAAAACACGAATGGTAAGAATACCAAGAATGATGAGAATATCAAGAATAATGACAATACTTAGAAAGATAAGAATGTCAAGAAATATATAATATAAAAAATAAAGTATATCAAGATAATAATACCAAGAACTAAAGAATACCAAGAAAGATAAGAATACCAAGAAAGATGACAACACCAGACAAGAATGGAACAAATTCACTCAAGACGATTTTCTGCAGTCACCAATGTCACTGCTGCCCGGATGTGTTTTTTAACGTTTAGTAACGCAGTGACGGCTTCACTGTAGGCCTCGTAGAACGTTATTGTGCCGCACGTTTCGTACGCAGTTATCGCGACATCTTATTTCAGCGTATTGGTGAATAAGGAGGTATTGGAGGTTTTGTCCGGGTCGCAGAGGACTTCGCAGAGTTGGAGATTTAGTCCAGGTCGCAGAAGATATCACAGAGTTGGAGATTTAGTCCAGGTCACAGAAGATATCACAGAGTTGGAGGTTTAGTCCAGGTCGCAGAAGATATCACAGAGTTGGAGATTTAGTCCAGGTCACAGAAGATATCACAGAGTTGGAGGTTTTGTCCGGATCGCAGAAGATATCACAGAGTTGGAGATTTAGTCCAGGTCGCAGAAGATATCACAGAGTTGGAGATTTTGTCCGGGTCGCAGAAGATATCACAGAGTTGGAGATTTTGTCCGGGTCACAGAAGATATCACAGAGTTGGAGGTTTAGTCCAGGTCACAGAAGATATCACAGAGTTGGAGGTTTTGTCCGGATCGCAGAAGATATCACAGAGTTGGAGATTTAGTCCAGGTCGCAGAAGATATCACAGAGTTGGAGGTTTAGTCCAGGTCGCAGAAGATATCACAGAGTTGGAGATTTAGTCCAGGTCACAGAAGATATCACAGAGTTGGAGGTTTTGTCCGGATCGCAGAAGATATCACAGAGTTGGAGATTTTGTCCGGGTCGCAGAAGATATCACAGAGTTGGAGGTTTTGTCCGGGTCGCAGAAGATATCACAGAGTTGGAGATTTTGTCCGGGTCGCAGAAGATATCACAGAGTTGGAGGTTTTGTCCGGATCGCAGAAGATATCACAGAGTTGGAGATTTAGTCATGGTCACAGAAGATATCACAGAGTTAGAGAAAGTGGCATCTTAGAGAAAGTGGCATCTTAACAAAACCGCGGAGAGAAAGTTGGAAAAAATCACTGCTGTGTAAAAGCAGTGAGATCATTGCCGCTCCACTGAAGGCCGAAGTCAGTGATCACTTTTATGCTAAAATCGAAAAAGTCCGGGGAAAAATTTTACGGAGAAATTCCATAGTCCAAACTTTTCCACCAGTTAGAAAAGTCACTGAGACTGAAAAGAAAACAGTTTAGAGTCAGAAACGAAGGTGGAATTGAGGATTAGGGATAACATAATGAAGAAGGATAACACAATCCCCTGCCCCTTGGATCAATACTACATCGATGTTTTCTTCAATATTACATGGATGCTGTTTGATCTCAAATCACGGATGTTGTTTGATCACACACAGAGTGATCAAACAATTTGATGCATCACTAACGTGATGCATCAAATGAACAAATCCACAAGGGCCGTGCCTCGGAGAGGCTACGGGATCCAGTAAGTTCAGTAGAACTTCGGTTTCAACCCTTTTACCCTGTCGTAGCTCAGTCGATTAAGGCAGTGTCTGGGATGCTCCCGGACGCAGGTTCGAATCCTCGTCACGGCCCTTGTGGATTTTTTCATGTTGTTTGATCTTAATACTTCACTAGTGCTGATTCATTTTAATGCTAAACGGATGCTGCTTCATCTCAGCACCACAGATGCTGTTTTCATACCAATACCAAATGAATGTTCATTCTTCAGACAGATCCTTGAGGCTATTAAGAATTACTCTCAGTGAAGTGCCTTGTGTCGTCGCCGTCCATCTTACTGACCTACTCTAATAGTTAACACAAATTTAGCCTCTTTGAGTCATCAGAAGTTTCGAGTCGACAATTTGCACCAAACTATAGCAATATTATTGGTAAAAAAAAGGCGACAATTTATGCTTTAATGTATTTTTGTGTTGACCAGACCACACACTAGAAGGTGAAGGGACGACGACGTTTTGGTCCGTCCTGGACCATTCTCAAGTCGATTGTGATTCTCAAGTCGAGTATTTTTATGTTTCTTAAGAGA